GCACAATCAAAACAGACCCGGTCACTGGAAGGTCGAGGGGGTTTGGGTTCGTGCTCTTCAAGGATGCTGCCAGCGTGGAGAAGGTGGGCGCTTTTCCTGCGGACCGATGGCATGAAGCCAGCTTGTGTAGTTCTAGCAGTCTGAGACTTTGTTCCTTTGTCTGTTTTTTAGGTGTTGGAGCTGAAGGAACACAAACTGGATGGGAAGTTAATAGATCCTAAAAGGGCAAAAGCGCTGAAAGGGAAGGAGCCACCCAAAAAAGTGTTTGTTGGTGGGCTGAGTCCAGATACATCTGAAGAACAGATTAAGGAGTACTTCGGTGCTTTTGGCGAGGTATAGTATATTGGCATATAAGAACAGCTCTGGTTCTCAAGTGTAGTCTGCCTCTCTCTTAAGAAAGAATTTGTGAGGAGGGAGTTGGCCAAAACTAGAGGTAGTTTAATCTGTATGTTAATGATTTCATAAAATTGTAATGGTCTGATGTATAGCTGCCAGAAGTAGTCAGAGTAGATTCTGCACTGCTAGGTGGTTCTGGTGGCATAAAAAGTTGCTCACGCATTGTTTATATTAATTTTGATTTCAGATTGAAAACATTGAACTTCCCATGGACACAAAGACAAACGAAAGGAGGGGCTTCTGTTTTATCACATACACAGATGAAGAGCCAGTAAAGAAGTTACTAGAGAGCAGATACCACCAGATTGGTTCAGGCAAGGTGGGAAAGCTCTTGTTCTTAGCATGTGAAATCTATCTCTGTAGGCTTCTGTGAAAGCAGCTCACAAAATGCTCTTGGAATTCTTAATAAGTTAAAGGATTTCTGTCCTTACAGTGTGAGATCAAAGTAGCACAGCCCAAAGAGGTGTACAGGCAGCAGCAGCAGCAGCAAAAAGGAGGGAAGAGCAATTCTTCTGGTGGACGTGGAGGCGGAAGGGGGCGTGGACGGGGTGAGTGTTTTCAGTAGTTCTATTAATGCAAGTACTTAACAAACACTTAGGTGTTTGTAGATATTCCAGGTTGCAGGCTGTGTGCAGATCTCGTGTTTAAATCAAGTGTGTAAAGTAGCCTGTTAGTAAGTGGTGTTTTGGTGGTTATGTTTCCTTGTTGAAGCTGAGGAATCTCTTGCTCTGCTTGCATTTAAGTGGTGAAGGGGCAAGGTGGGTGGGGGTGCTTTTGTATGCCCTTAGTGACAGTGTAGCCAGTGCAGTTACACTTTCACTTGAAAGGGATACACTCAGTTGGCCTATGGGTAAGAAACCAGGAGCTATTTATTAAGGGCTTGGGTGGTCACTGCTGCTCCTTCAAATGGATCGGAAGGAATCAGCTATTATGTTACAGGCTAATGCATCTCAATCTTCAAAGGCCAAACAGTCACAACTCACACCTTTCAGGAAGGCTTGACCTGTGCTGTCACTTGGTGCTCAGGCAATTACTGATTATTCTCGTATCTCAAAAGTTAGATGAAGGGGCACAGGAGAGGAGTGTAATAAGTTCTGAAACTTACACGTGCTATACTTGGTTTCAGGTCAGGGACAAAACTGGAACCAAGGATTTAATAACTATTATGATCAAGGCTACGGGAATTACAATAGTGCTTACAGTGATCAGAGCTACAGTGGCTATGGAGGCTACGACTACTCTGGGTACAACTATCCCAACTATGGATATGGGCCGGGATACACAGATTACAGTGGTAAGTGGTTTTGCCCTCATTTCCCATAACAAGAGCATGCAGCCCCTCTCTGGAGCGTTGCTCTTACTTGGCCCATGGCTCTAAAGATGAGATCTCTTGGTGTGCTGCTGTGTGTGAAGTCTCCTTCTGAGGCTGGATGTTAATGCTTGTGGGTTCTGTTTTTTCCCCGTGTCACCTCCAGGCCAACAAAGCACATATGGGAAGGCGTCCCGTGGCGGCGGCAACCACCAAAACAACTACCAGCCGTACTAAAGCAGTACCTAGTACCTGACAAACAGGTGTGTACATGAGCGCGAGCTCCACTCCCACTATCTCTAATCTAATTTAAAGATCAATAGACAAACGAAGAGTAAAAACTTGCCTAGCATGACTTTTCCTTTAATTAAGCTTTTGTTAACTTAAAAAATACTTTTTTTTTTTTAAAACCAGCTTTGCCTACGTGTCTATAGATCTTTAACTTTGTAAAAATGTGACTTTATCTTCTTTAGTACCTCAGAAAAACATAAGAGTTTTTCTGGTTTGCGTTGTGTACCAGGTGGTCTAGAGGAATAATTAAACTTATTAGAAGTATTAACAGGTAAAGTACTGAAATGGGTACAACTTAAGGAAAACAAGAATGTTGTCTTCTAACTCTGACATTATACCTTGTTTGTACCCGCCAGCGGGAACTTCATTGCAGGCCGTGTGTCACCCTGACCACGTCTATCTCTGGGGTCGCACGTTGCAGGCAGAGCGCAAGGCATACACCAGAAAACGCTGTCCTGTGGTATGGTCTCTTCCAACTTCATGTACCAGCGTAAAGATTAAAGTGGAAAACTTCAGACTTTGGCTTCTTTTTTTAATCTTTTTTGGAGATTAAGTGTCTTTAACTTAAATGGTTTTTTACAGGAGTTAAAGTACATAAATGCCTTTACAGCTTAATCATTTGGTCTTCTGTTTAGTGTTGTATTTCAATTGTGGAACCTCATTTTAAATGTGCATTCTTTAAGATTTTAATGCTTGCTTTTTTCTTTTTATAGCTAATAGTGAAATCTGCAAACCAAAACGAACTTTTAAATCTGGATAAACATTAAAGATCATATGCATATGGACTGTCTGAACTAAAGTGACCTGACTTGTGTTGCACATAAGTTGTTAAGTTGTATAAACAAATAATCAGAAAGCATTTTGGCAGTGTTTCCAGTGGAAAAGAACGTGATCCAGAGCCTGCTTACTTGTCTAAATTGGATGGTTGTTGTTTTGGAGCAGCCTCCTAGATGGGCTGAATGGCAGTATATGGGAAAATAAATTACTGATGGGTAACTAAACAAACCTCTTGTGTTACCTTAATAAATATGCATATGATCTTTAACAGTGAAGAAAGGAATATATAGAAGACTTAAAGCAGTTCATGAAAATGGACCTTTTAACAATCCTGTAGTAACTGTCACAGATCTGACATGCATTTTGTCTTGATTTTTTAGGTAGAGATACTGCAACAAAAAGCCATCTTGCAACGCATCGTGAGTGAATGGAGGGTGGTCTTCGTGAGAGAAAATGACTATTTTGTAAAAGACTTTTAGTGTGTGACACAACTGTGTCCAACTGTACATAGCGGCCGACTAGTTTTCTTTTATGGTTTTTACTTTCTTTTTGCCATTCATGTTATGACACAATGTGGACTTGTGTTTATACAAACTTTATTTGTATAATTTCATGTTACAAGATTCTCTAATAAATGCTTACTTAAGTGAGTGTGTAGTGTTGCTGTCACCTTAAAGTGGCAGAACTATAGTTTTACTTGGATAGAAAGGCACAGGTACCTCTCTGGAAATCAGGGTTACTGTGAGAGCAGATACATACAGCCCATTCTTCCTCTGATCTGTCCTGAGAGCACCAGAGTGCTTGGAATTAGCATCGCTGTGGAAGATGACAGAGTCCTGTGCTGCGCTCTGCAACAATGAAGAGAGAGTGGTCTATGGCACAATGCTGCCAATTTTGTACATCTCAGGAGTGAGCTAGAGCTGTGGCAGCACCTTTTTAATGCTGATAACGCTGCTTAAGGAGTTGGAGCTTTCCAAGGTTTTTCAAACACTTAAACCCTCAAGGATTCTAGTACTTGGCTTATTTACTTTCCTACACTGCTTATTTCTATTCCAGTTCCAAGTAGGAGATTACAAGTGCTTGAATTTTAGGGTCAGCAACTCTTTTCTGTACCACTTAGTACAAGTTATGTGCTATACTGTATTCACCTGGATCAGGAAACAGGTTTCCTATCCAGTGCACACTAGCAAGCTACAACTAAGCCTGAGTGCCTGATTGCTGGAGAAGGAACACTGAATTAACAACACCTTTCCGGATCAGGACAGTGCCTGGCATGGGTAAAGGAGCATCTGCATTTTGTCTGAGGCCAAAGGATTGCAGCACTGCCTGAAGATTTGATGTTTCTTAGAACATACCCAGTTAAGTATCAACATAAAACTTGCTTGTTAAAGCTCACTGATTCCACTGACTACAAACTAACTAAGGAATCAGCAAGAAACCACAGCAGTATGTGAGTTCATATGCAGCATTTGTGAGTGCAGCTGCATCCAGCACTGTCCTCCACAGCAACTGAGGGGCTGAGGGAGACTTGTGCCACAAGGATACGGTTTCATTGCTACAGTGGTTTGTTAATACACAAAACCCTGCCAAGAGCCAAGTTTTATTTCAGTCTGTGATCCTACTGCTCTCCTTGGTCCTAGTGAAGTACAGCTGGAATACTGTGTCCAGGTCTGGGCTCCTCAGCACAAGAAAGGCTCCTGGAGAGGGTGCAGTGAAGGGCCACAAGGATGATGAGGGGGCTGGAGCATCTCTTAGGAGAAGAGACTGTGGAAGCTGGCCTGTTTAGTTTGGAGAAGACTGAAGGAGATCTCAGCAATGCACATAAGTATCCCAAAGGCAGGATATATCTCTTGTGCCAAGAGGATGGTGCCAGACGTTTTTCAGTGCTGCCCAGTGACAGGACAAGGAGCAATGACCACAAACCAAAACACAACAAGTTCCACTTAAACCTGAGGAAGGAGTTCTTAATCAGAGGGTGGCAGAGCACTGGAACAGCTTCCCAGGGAGGTTGTGGAGTCTCTCTGGAGCCATTCCAAACCCACCCCGACCTGTTCCTGTGCCACCCGCTCCAGGTGGCCCTGCCTTGGGCGGGGGGTTGGACTGGACGATCTCCAGAGGCCCAGTCCAGCCCAGTGACTGTCGCTGTCGCCCCCCGGCCCCGGGCGCTCCCGGGCTGGGCCGGAGCTCCCCCCGCGCTCCCTCACGGCTCCCCGGGGGCGGTGTCACGTGTCCCGCCCGCCGCGCTCCTTCCGGCCGCCATTTTAGGTTGGGTCGGTGGCGGCGCCATTAAAAACAGGGAGCAAGAGGAGGAGGGATCGGCGGGATCGGCGCGCTCGGCCGGGGCCGCCAGCGGGGCCGGGGCCTCGGCGGGGAGGCGGCGGCACCGGGGGTGGCCGGTGCGGGGCGGCGGCGGCGCCATGTCGGATCAGCAGTTCGCTCTGGACTCGGCGGCGGTGGCGGCTGGCGCCGGGGACAGCGCGGCGGAGCCGGCGGAGCAGCCTGAGGGGCAGGCGGGGGCGGGGAGCACCGATGGGGGAGGCGGCGGCGGCGGCGGGATCGAGTCGGAGGGAGCCAAGATCGACGCCAGCAAGAACGAGGAGGACGAAGGGTGAGCGGCGGGGGCGGGTTGTGTGTCCCGGGCGGGGCCCCGCGCCCCCGGCCCCGTTTGCCGCCCTGTTTGTTTACTTGGCGCCTCGGCGACGTCACGGGCCGGGCCAGGCGGCGGGGGCGGTGTCTGGTCCCGCGGTGTATAAGGGGGTCGATGTGCCTCGAGCTACAGACCCTTATTAGTTATTTTTCTTGTTAACGATGCCTTTTCTATGAGTTAAAGTGCGGTGCGTGCCTGCAGACCGTAACTCGGTGTAACCGAATGCTCTGGTTGCAGTCGCAGCATTGCCCTGTGCTGCAAACATTACAGTCTGTTAGCTAAGTGCCAGAGGCGTCAGACACCGGGACTTCTTCCCAGCCTAAAACATGCCTGTGCTGCTCACGAAACTTGCTGTCGGGAGGATTATGTTAGGTGGTGTCCGAACTTGAGAGGCAGGAGTTGAAAAGGCAGGAAGCTAAGTCGGGGGAAGTTATGCATCCGGAAAAGGTTTTTCACCTAGAGGGTGGTTGGCCACTGGAACAGGCTCTACAGGGAAGTGGTTACAGCACCAAGTCTGACAGAGTTCAAGAAGCACTTGGAAAATGTTCTCAGGCACATGGTGTGAATCTTGGCGTGTCCTGTGCAAGGCTAGGAGTTGGACTTGATGATTCTGATAGGTCCCTTCCAACTCAGCATGTTCTATTATTCTGTTTTATGCAGGGTAAAGGCAGCTTTTAATCTTCATAGGGTCTCTGCCTGGGGCAGTGTCCCTTTTGTATTGCCGGTGAAATTTGTGTGTAATGAATCCAGTGACAGGACAGGCTGATGCGCTCTGCTGTCTCCTGTCGGCCCGTGAGAAACTCGAGCTGCAGTTCTGTTTTTGGTCAAGGCAGAAAATAACCTGGATAAAGGAGCACTAACCACCGTGTCCTGCAGATACCTGCTGCAAAACCTTCCTGAGTGTCTTCCTGCTTCTCTAATAACCTGGGATGTTGCTGAGAGAGATGTTAATAATTTGGGATAATGAAGAGAGAGAGAATAGGAACCCTTTCTTGAATACTTTGCTGGGATTAGCAAAAATTAAAATGGTTTTGTTACTTTTCCTTTATTCTTAACAGGCTCAAATGCCGTTGGAGTTTGTTTTACTTACTACTCCTGAATACACACCATTTAAAGGGTTTTCCTGGGCAAATTCGGGTTCTTTTGAGGCAACAGAGCCTAGAAAAAGTTGTCTCTAAGCGGTGCAGTGACACTGGCCAGTGATTACATTGATGTGTAGTCTAGTTCAGTATTTTTGACCTGTCAGTTCTTAATGCTGTACAGGAAACAGTGTGTTTTGACAACACGTCTGGTAGTAAAGGGAAAAAAGTTTATCTGTGACACCTTGTTGAGCTAATTCTGAAGTTTGAAAGCTTTCCCAGTGCACTTCTGGTAACTTATTTTGGGAAACTGTATGTGCTGACGTGACTTAGACCAGCCAGACTGTGAAAAGTATTTATTTTACAAGCTTTTGGCAGCGCTGTGACACTACTCCTGAGTTGTTGTGCTCATGTTTGTAGTGTAGCCTTGACCTGACCTCAGTTTTACACCTTGGAGTAGTAGCTCATGTAGGGGCAGACTGAAGCAGCCGTGGTTTGCTGCTCTGCAGCCAGGCTCAAAGGTGCAGTTACTGCATGAAGAGATTAAAAACCTTCAGAGGCTGTTGGTTTCAAGCTCGTGTTCTTGGTCTGTCTGTCCTTAGGGATACAAAGTAGGGTCTGTATCGTAATGTTGAGACAGGTGTTTTGTGTAGCAAGTGTCAGTTCAGTAGTAACTGCTAGAGCATCACTACCCCCTGTGTGTCAGAAACACGCTGCTGCGTCCTCTGTGTCTTCAGTTTGGCTGCTTAAAAACCCTTCACAGAACAGCAGACAAGCTAAGGACCTTAATGATGGTGAACAAAGGGCAGAAAGCTCCTTTGATTACTGTGTGTACTGGTATGAGGCTGCTGCTTTACCAGGGTGGACCATGAAGACAGTAAGAAGTCACAACTGATAGAAAGGGCTCTTGGTACTTTGTTGAAGAGCTATCTGGAACTAGTTGGAAAAGTGGATAAAGGGATGGGGAATTGATGTTCCTTTGTTACAGATTTGGAGACTTATTTTAAAAACATCTGAAGCTCCTGAGCCCCTCATGTGTATGGATGTTTGTCAGAAAATGAATGCTCTTGTTAATTCTGTGAGATCAAAGCTAATTCAACAGAAGTAGTTCACAGGAGCAGCTTTTGATTCGAGAGAGTTTGAGTTGTGGAGGTACAATGCTCTTTTACATGACTGGCAGGAATATTTGTGCGTGGGAAGTAGAAGGGTTGGAAACATGATACAGTGGTTTTTCAGGTTTTCTGATAACTGTGCCTGATTGTGAAATAAGTTGGGACAGTGAAAATGGGCAAAGCTTTGTAGAAAGTGCTTTTATAGATCATAATGGATCATATTTTTGGTTAGAGCTCACAGTAAAATCTTCTTTATCAGTATTAGAAGAGATCATCTCAGATCAAATCCTCTTTTGAATGGGTTCCTAAGCCTTAGGCCTAATAACCTGGAATGTTTAATTTGCGTGTATACTGGCTTGATTGTGCATATTTTAAATTTTTTTTAATGCCTTAGTAACACGATGAGATGGTTATGATTTGATTCTAAGCTTCTAGTGTGCTTTTGAAAATACAGGTTATGAATTATGTGCTGTACACATCTGCCCAGCAGCACTAGTGCTCTAGAAATACTGGGAAGACATTCTCTTGATGGTAATGAATTATGCCAGGTATTTGTTTATATAAAATTTTTGTGAGGAAAGAGAACTTTTGACCATCCAATACTTTGCTTTTTCTTAACTGCCTTCTGGGGAAGGGAACTTGACTAAACTTTATTTATTTTCGTTTATTAATTTAGGCATATGTCCAGTCCAGATTGGTAGATAAATGTTTCTGTTTTAACCACACTTCCTTACAAGTCTAATCTGTCTGTACGTGTTTCATGAGCAGTAGTGTGGTGGCTCCACAGATAACTGAACAGAATTAAACCTGTAGTGGAGATGTAAAGAAGTAGTAAAATACCTTTTTTGTCATTACTAGAGGTTTCTTGGGACAGCAGAGTAAGCAGCTGCAGGAGAAGACAGTGAAAAATGTTTGTGTATGTGGAAGTCTTTATCAGTCCTGGCCAGAATCATTTAAGCAAGTTGTCAAAAAGTGCAGGCCTGTGTGTGTAGTGACATGACTGATTAAATCTTGCTAATTCCATGCATTAGGTAATTGAGCTCATAAAGCTTGGCAGTGGAGGTTTTGGGTAACACACATTGACAGATTGACCAACTTGTCTTAACAGGAAAATGTTCATTGGTGGCCTTAGCTGGGACACAACGAAGAAGGATCTGAAGGACTACTTCTCTAAGTTTGGTGAAGTTGTAGACTGCACTCTGAAGTTGGACCCCATCACTGGGAGATCGAGAGGCTTTGGCTTTGTACTCTTCAAAGAATCAGAGAGTGTGGATAAGGTAGGATTAATGTAATGGAACATGTCCAAATTCAGGTATCAGAGACAAAGCACTCACTAGGATGACTGTAGGCATTGTTTGTATACATCTTCTGGTAAAGATGATTCAGGGGTGCAGTGTGTTTAATGTGCTTGTTGAAAATGCTTTCTTTTATGAACCATCTTACTCGTGATGCTGTGTCCAGGTCCAGCAGTGATTCCTGAGGTATGGATTTGGGCACTTACAGGTTCTTGCAAGCCATTGGACTTGGGCACTTGAAAAATACGGTGTATAAATGCCTGCTGCTGTGAAAGCAGCGTTTGCAAAGAACTTCTAGTCTTTGCATTCCAGAGCTGTAACATGAACCCCTAGAGCAGAGCCAGTAGCTTTGATACATTTGGACACTATCCAAGCAAAAATTAGCTGTTAAGTTTTCTAACATGCTGTGGATATGGCACACAGAAAAGTTTTCACCTTCATGACCTTTGTGATATCTAAAGTACAGATTTTTTTTCACTTCATAAAGTTGGAGGATGAGAAGAGTACATTTTGAGAAATGTTTTACTCTTGCTTCTGCTGGGTAGTAGGTGCTTCCAGTTGTCAGAACTGTCTGTGTCAGTGGATAGTGATCAAAAAATCATAGAACTCTTTGTTTTGTTGCAGCAAATTATTGGTGTGATCCAAGTATTGAAATGGAAGCAAATTTGGCCTTACTCAAAACATCAGTGAAACATTTAGCTTTAACTGTTTGTGTTTTTATTTTCCTCAGGTCATGGACCAGAAAGAGCACAAGCTGAATGGAAAGGTCATTGATCCAAAAAGAGCCAAAGCCATGAAAACAAAAGAACCCGTGAAAAAGATTTTTGTTGGGGGCTTATCTCCAGATACACCTGAGGAGAAAATACGGGAATATTTTGGAGGTTTTGGTGAGGTATGTGGTGAAAAGAACTGCTTTTACTTGTGGAACTTGTTCTGTCTTCACCAATTTTTTGATAGAAGACATCCCCCACGTGCAGCCTGCATGGATACTAATGTAAGATTAATGGCCGTTGTAGTTCAGTGTGTGTTAGTGGTCAGATTTGTAATGTTTTGATTACAAGCTCTGAGTTGCATAGCCTGGTTTGATGGAAAGGGGAGCTGAGATAAATCAGAGAGGGAGGCAGTGCAGTTCTGAGCAGGGTGATTTGGTCAGTTGAATGAGATGCTCTTCAGCCACCCCAGTTCGTCTCCTGTAGCACAGATTGAGACAGTTTTGCCTAAATTCTATGCAACTCTGTCCTCTCTGTGTCTCTCTGTCGTCAGTTTTTGGTGGTGCAGATGAGTTAAGTATGACTAAAGTTTTTAAAAGCTAGTCTTGTATGAACTTGCTACAGCTGCTGTTCCCCATTGGTTATCAGATGGTGCCAGCTTCGGGTCATAACTCTGTTTAGATAATTTGATTGCTAAATATGTGCCCACTTACAGAACTTACAGACAGTTCACTCTGGACTAAAGACTTTAACTACTGTTTGCCTAGAAAGTCTTGTGTGCCATAGGTGCAGATAACTTGGACTCTAGCCAAGTCATATTGTCATGTTCAAGTCTAAATAATTTCACTTAAAAGGTATGACTTGTTAGAAGGATTTTGCAGTGACACGAATTGCAGGGTAAAAGGTAAAATCACTGTCTTCCACCAGGTTGAATCCATAGAGCTCCCCATGGACAACAAAACTAACAAGAGGCGTGGATTTTGCTTCATTACTTTCAAGGAGGAGGAACCAGTGAAGAAAATAATGGAAAAGAAATACCACAATGTTGGGCTTAGTAAAGTAGGTGGATTTTTTCCTATAGAAACTGAACCATGACAATAGAGGGAATTATATTACCAGTTGTACCTGTTTGGGGATAGTAGTCTGCCAATACCTGTAAGCATTATTTTTCGCACGTAGACATTGGGCCTGTGAAGGATTTATATAGGTGACTGTTACCTTTATTTCTGAGCTGAGGGGGTTTCAGGTGAGGTTTTATACTGCAGCCCCACCCCATGGGGAGAGGGCTGGGCCCCAGCACACTTTTCATCATGCAGCTCCCACATTTTCCAGCAGCGTGGGCAGAGTGCTGTGTCACTGATCTGCTGTATCAGGCAGCACCAGGTTTTCCTGATTAGCTGGATCTTGGTGTATGTGTTTGTTGTTATAAGCAAATGTCAGTTTGTCTGGTGAACTTCCAAAACTGAAATGAAACAGCAAGTTAGGCTTCCCTATTGGAAGTTGCATTCTTTACAGAAACCTGGTTGAATTTCAACCTGGTAGCATATACTCAAATGGTAGCTGGACTGGTACTTGCACAAATATGTACTGGAAGTTTAAGAACAAAGTTGAGTTGTGTTTAGCATGTTGACCAAACTCAGGTTTGATTTCACTTTGCCCAAATGAACAGGCCCCAAAGCTGTAATTCAAAGGGAAAACAGAAAGGCGTACAAAGAAACAAGCGTTCTTTTTAGAACGGATTCTACTGTGTCTCACAACTGTGTTCAAGTTAGACAGTGTAAGCTATCAAATTTTTTTTTCAGGGAGGGCTCCAGGATGACAAAATCCAATTTTTTTGCTTAGTGTTCTTTAAGAGTGATGTGTGGGGGTTGTCTTTGCTGATTGGCTCTCACTCTTTCTATTTCCAGTGTGAAATAAAAGTAGCCATGTCAAAGGAACAGTACCAGCAGCAGCAGCAGTGGGGGAGTCGAGGTGGATTTGTTGGAAGAGCTCGAGGGAGAGGTGGAGGTAAGCTTGTACTGCTGCAGTGTTGGAAGGTGAGAGAGTAGCCCTCGCCTTGAATGAATGAAAATAAGTCTGAGCTTTGTGTTGCAGGCCCCAGTCAAAACTGGAACCAGGGATACAGCAACTACTGGAATCAGGGGTATGGAAACTATGGTTACAACAGCCAAGGGTATGGTGGTTATGGAGGATATGACTACACTGGTTACAACAACTACTATGGATATGGTGACTATAGCAGTAAGTACTGAATTATTTATAAAAAGTTGCAATCTGCTGCTTGTAA